CTTATATTTTTTAGTACTTATATAATAAAGACAACTTTGTTTGTGGTGCATTTCGGTACCTTGTTTTAATGCCATGTTACAGTATACGACCTGCGTTGTAAATTTTTTTGTTACATATAATATAATTTATACTTTTATGCGGATTTTTAGTTAGATATTTATAGATTTTATTATAAAAAATGGGACATTAAACTACAATTTTGTGAATATAATATTATAATATATTTAATAGAAGAATTTTATTAAGTAATAAAACCACTGTTAAACTGTATAACTTTGGTTCATCATCATTCAAAGTTGTTTTCTATAACTGAAACCAATTCATCAGGTCATTTAAACCCAATATTCGTTGGAGTTGCTTCATTCCGGCCAATAGCTTAGCTTATTGGTATAATCACTTTTTTTTTTATTAAAGCTGATCACAAATAAAGATCTAGCTACACTAAAAGGTCCTTCTGCAGCAGCATAGAGATTTCTACCGGTGGATCCTGGAAGATCACAGTACCAATAGGCGCACCTCCCCCCATCGCCGCAAATCTATCAGCAACACCATTTTGCTCCCTTCGAACATGCGTAACTCTCACTTTCCAATCCCGATCACGGAGTTCATGAATAGCAATAATTAAAGAACTTCCGGTTAAAGCATCAGTCGTGTTATCAAAGATACGAGCAACTTCGCTATTATCAGTCTCAAGCTCCACTAATCTGAAACCCAACCTCCAAGCGTGCATTAGAAGATCATGCGATGCCCACAATTCTGCTGTAATGACAGAACATCTACCGAGTAAAACCGAATAACCATTCTCCTTCATGATTTCGAAGAAGACCCCCCGCAGTAACCGTATTATCAACAGGGTGGACTGCTCCATCCGAATTGGCTTTGATCCAACCAATAGATGGTCAAATCCAGTTTAATGGATTATGAGTGACTAGCAAACTTGAAATAGCAGCCTAACCCTACACCTATGTTTCCATAGTTGCCAGCAATAAACCACAAAACGAACAGGTCAATTCTGCACAGTGGAAGCAAACATACCTGGCGACTGAGGATTAAGCTTGATCCAATAACGACAGGGGAGAGCTAAGAAATCTGCCATCTCACTCGTCTGTACAACCTTTGGCAAAACAGCTGTAGCCTGTTTACAATGACGGAGAACGTGGTCAATGTCCTCAGCTCCTCTTCCACAAACCATGCAGCTTGAGAGATAACGCCGAACCCTTTCAACATTGGTAAGCAAACGATTGTGTGCAACAAGCCAGAGAAATGTTCTAACACGATGAGGAACTGCAAGCTTCCAAATCATTTCCCATTTAAACTGGTTGGTCTCCATCATCGTTCCAGTAATTGCTTTATTGTCAGATTTAGATGTGAATCGTTTATCCGCTTCCCATCTCCAGCCAGGGACATCCGATCCTAAACGTTCAAGCGCTGGTAAAACAGTCATGATCTTTTGAACAATATGCTCAGGAAGAAGAGAGGAGATCCTCGTCCAATCCCATGATCCGGAGGGGAGAACCATATCACAAACCGGTGTTGGTGTTGGCGAGTCAATACCCTTATAAGCGAAAACGAGTCTCTCCTCTGTTATCCAAATTCCAACCAGTGATCATACCAAAAAACTGTTTTTTTGCCATTACGAATATTCCACACTATATTCTCATTGAACTCCCTCCAAATGCATTGAAGACCTTTCCAAAGCCGAGACCCATTAACACTTTGAAGTGAAAACGGAACTGGATCCTCCCATTTATACTTCGCACGTATAATCTGCACCCTTAACTTATTCGGTTTGGTAGCTAATTCGAAGGCAATTTCATAAAAAATGCCTTATTCTGATGGGAAAGACTTCATACCTATACCTCCATTTGCAAGAGGTTGTATCATCTTATCCCACTTTACAAGAGGTAAGGCAGTGCTGTTGTTATTTGAGCCCCATATAAAGCGGCAAATAATTCTCTCCATATCATCGCATAAGCCTTTTGGGAGCCACGAAGATTGCATTACATACCCGGAATAGCTTGAAGAACAACCTTCGCAAGAGTGATGCGACCAGTCAATGACAAAGTTCTCGCCACCCAGCCCGATAATCAATGATTCATTTATCAAGCAAATAAGCGTAAGTGGCTTTGGTAACTCTATTGTGTAACAAGGGTAGCCCAAGATATTTCCCTAAATCTTTAACCTCCTCAAAACCTAACTTCCAAGCAATATCATTTCGCATGTCAGAAGAACAATTCTTCGAAAAATAAATCCGGTGTTTTGTCACACTAATTAGGTTACCAGAATCACTACAAAATTCAGCAAGCACCTCATTAATGATCGTGAATTGAGAAGAATCTGCCTCAGTGAACAACACAAGATTATCGGCAAAAAATAAATGCGAAAGCTCCGGACCGTTCCTTGACAGGTGTATAGGCTTCCAATGACCCAAAACAATTTTAAACTCGATCATTTGCGATCATCTCTCCATGCATAAAACAAAGAGATATGGAGAAAGAGGATCACCTTGGCGGACTCCTCTTGAAGTTTTAAATGGAGCAGTAAGATCACCATTCCATGAAATCCTTGTGGACGCCGATCTAACACACACCATAATACGAGCAATGACTTTATCCGGTAAACCCACAGCATAAAGCGTCTCCTCAATATAGTCTCATTCCAAACGGTCATAAGCTTTTTCAAGATTGGCTTTTATGGCCATCCAACCCTTTCTGTCGGTCTTCTTGGCCATCGAATGAATAGCCTCTTGAGCCAAAATAATATTATTTGTAATTTGTCGACCTGGGACAAAACTAACTTGATTCTGGCCACCCAGTTTGGCAAAAAAAGTTTCAATCGGCACACAAGTAGCTTAGTGAGAATTTTATATAAGACATTGCATAAGCTAATATGTCGAAACTGACTTTTCGAAACAGGATTAGTAACCTTCGGGATCAAACCAAGCACAGTTTCATTCACTCAATCTTCAAGAACTCCATCATCAAAGAATGGCTTAGCAAAATTAACAACCGAAATCCCCACTGTGTCTCAATTTTTTTGGTAAAAAGCCACATGGAGCCCATCTGCACCCGAAGACTTCAGCAGAGCCATACTAAAAGCAACGTTTCGAACCTCTTCAACAGAAATATCCCTCAAAAAGGACTCACAATTCCTCAGCATTAAATTGGTGAAAATTGCAATCAATATTAGCAGAATTTCTATTAGAACTTCGCTCACTAGTAAAAAGATTATGGAAAAAATTCACGGCATGGTTCTTTAAAATTACCTCATCTCTGCACCATGCACCATACGAAAGATTAAGCATGCTAATCTTGTTTTGCTTTCGTCGAATCATCGTTGAAGTATGAAAATAATTTGTATTCAAATCTCCTTTGGATATCCAATTACGACGCGCCTTTTGGTGCCAAAGACTCCTCTTGAGAGAGGATCAAATTGAGCTCCTTTTTAAAAAGATCCTCCAATTCCAAAAGATACCCATCTTCTGAACCTTCAACTGCTTTTTCAATATTTTTAATTCGGGCCATAAGAATTGATTTCCTTTTGCCAATATGACCAAAAGTATTTTGATTCCTGATTCTGCTCTTATATGATATCTTCATGTGTGTTTCTTCTACATTTTCAAACATCAAATAAGAAGTTTCGAAAATCCAGATGTTCACTCCAAGCATTAATGTAGCGAAACGGACGATTTTGAGAAGCCAAATGCCCATTCCCTATTTCCAAAAGTAAGGGACGATGATCTGATCCCAACCTTTGAAGATGGAAGACCTTCGAACTAAGAAAGTAATTCGACAAGTAAGAATTGCATAAACATCTATCCAAGCGCTGAGAAAGAGTCCCACGTCTCCAAGTGAATTTCGGGTAACTGAAACCCATATAAATCAGACCCGAATCAAACAAAAAAACACAATTTCTGACACACCCCAGTACTACGTTGAGATCCACCTTATCGCTCCGAACGACTACCGATAATATTAAAATCTCCCCCGAGTACCCAAGACTAGCTAGAGTCAAGTTCCAAAGCTTTCAACTGATTCCAAAGACGTCCCCGGATCCCACTATCGGGGTTCGCATGAACAAAAGTAATAAGGAAACCACAATTCTCTATCGGATTAGAACACCACCCATGTATGTATTGACGAGAAACAACAAGAATCTTAAACTGAAAAGGTTCCTTCCAAAGAATCCAAATGCCACGCGAAAATCCTAGCGCTTCCGCTCTATAAGAATAATCAAAGCCCTAATTTTAAATAAACACATCAGCTGCCCTTCCACTAATTCCAGGCTCCAAAATTGAAAAAATATCAAGCTTTTGAGTCCCCATTAGCAGCTTAAAATACCGGTTAAACTCAGGATTGCGGGCACCCTGGACATTCCAAAAAATTACTCTAGTCATTAAAAATAAATGGAGCTGAAAAAAATAGCAAGCTAAACCTGCATTTCATCGCCATCAATATGAGCGAACATATTATTCGCTCGCCATTGAACCATCACTTCTTGATTTTCATCAGGTTGCTGCTCCCCTAGAGTTGAAGACAAAGCTGCTCCATGCGCTTTATCCAATCATGATTCATTACCGATATCCAATCAGCAAGAAGAGGCTTGATTGGTGTCACATCATCCTTCTTCTTCGTCTTCAATCCCTTCCGTGACAGGCCCTTAACAGTAGATAGTCCTTTGTTTGTAACATTCTGATTCGAGTCTCTAGCTGTCTTTTGTAAGATACGAATATTGTGATCCCTAGGGACTTGATTCTTGTCACTGCTGATCATCTGGACAGCAGTATGTTTATCTTTGCTAAAGGACGATAGAACAAGAACCACTTTTCCTCTCGAAGCAACTATTGCATTACTGACCGGATTAAGTTGGTTCACCGAGTCACTGCCCGGAATCTCAAGTCTCAACTACTGCTTTCCTAATCTGTCTAACACCCCCTTGTTTACTTGATTCTGCCTGAAGGTTAACCATTACATTCTCTTTAACAATACTCGATGGAATCTCAGCTTCCTTCTCTCCCACAGTATTCTCGCTCCCCATGTCCACACTCCACATCTTTGAGTTTCTCAAGAATTGTATAACGCGAACCAAGATTCTGCCCAGCCTTCTGCTTTGAAGTCTCCTCGTTCGCGCTTATCCGACTTGCATTGTTCCTTTTTTTCTTATTGGCTACTTGCATCCAAGGCCCATAGGGGTTTTCCTCTGTGATACTGACTTGATTACCTTTCATATCACCGGAATCGGTACTAGTAATCCCACCATATTGTTCACAAGTATGTTCATACTTCCCACAAGCATAGCAGATTAATGGAAGACCTTCATATTCCACGGTTTGGTGTTGTCCATCTATTATGATTCCAGAAACTATAGGTTTGTCCAAATCCACAACAACAGCAAGTCTCGCAAACCGCCCTCTTTTCCCGTCTTCAGTATTATAATCAATACGAACCACATTTCCAGTAATGCCAGCAATGCACCGAAATAAACTTTTCGTATAGTACCGATAGGGTAGACCAGGAAAAAGTACCCAAACCATAATCTTTATCGGATGGTTGGCCACAGTAGAGAATGATCTATTCCATGGTTGGACAGTAAGATAACTGCCATAGATTACCCAAGGCCCTCCCAATAACACATTATTATAATCATCCTCAATAGCAAAACGGACAAGGTAGTATTCGTTGTCAAGGTCAATTAAATTGATTTCACCCCGTTGATTCCAAAGGGATTTGATTCTGTTCATGAGGGCTTTGTAACCAATTGTGTTACCAAGCAATCTAACAATCACTGAGTTTGCTAGCTTAGCATCAATGGCATCGTGAACACGCCCTCAAAATCTTATTTCAGGGAATTGGCCATTTGTGTCAACGATGACGTCTTCCAGGCTGACTTCTACATCCAAGTCATTAATCAAGTTTCCGTGATTTGTTTCCAGTGTATTTCCTTTCACCATATCACAAAAGGAAGGCATATCAGATTTGATCCCTATCGAATTAGGGTTATTCCCATGTTCCAAACCACCCCTCATATCACTAATACCTTTTCCATCAATATCTCCGGTCTTCAATTCAACAGAGCCAACGGGATCTAGGTTAATCAGCTGTTCTGATCCATTCTCAGGACAGTCCTCCATAATGGAATCAACAAGCATCGAAGTTTGAACCTGAATATTCCCACTCATGGAGACAATATTTCGAGTTTTCTTCATGGCTCTCTCTGCGTCCTCTGCAAGGGGAGGTCCCGGACGTTCAAGAACGACCAAGGATTCCGAATCCACCCCTTCCTCCGGTGGTTTTCCGCCATGATTACCGGACGGCTCAAAGCCAAAGTCGTGCACTAAAATTACGGTAGGGTTGACTTTTTCATAGATAGATTTGCACTTTTCTCCCTTTTAAGTTCCTTTAAATTCAACAGTTTCTTAAAAATATTGGGTAATGTACACAAATGGTCACTCAACTATAGGATAATAATTTTTTGAGTCACTTGACTATTAAAAATTACACCCTTGACTGTAGGGAGTTTCTTTGTTGAGTCCCTCAACTATTAAATGTTATAAAATGATCATTTGACTATTAATTATATTTCAAACTCGTCCTTTTTTGTTAAAAAATTAATGGTCGTCTGAGTTGAATGTTAACATGTTGACTGAGATATGATAATCGTTTAAAATTATGAGATCATATTTTATCATATCTCAGTCAAAATGTTAACGTCCAGCTCAGACTGTCGTTAAATTTTTAACGGAAAATGATGAGTTTGAAACATAATGAATAGTCGATTGATCATTTTGTAACTTTTAATAGTCGATGGACTCAACAAATCAACTCCCTATAGATGGGGACCATTTTGTAACTTTTAATAATCGGGAGACTCAACAGAATATAATCCTATAGTCGAAAGACCATTTGTTTACTTTACCCTAAAAAAATATATATTTATCTATTTTCCATGTCTTTATTTTATTTTTTAACAGTTTCTCAAGATAAAGAAAACTAACTGGTCAGACATAACTAAAAATATGTACATTATGTTGTGAATCCATGCGTATCCTTTTTCTCTTTCAGCAATAACTGGTCAGACATTGAAACATTTTCTTAAAGCCAAACCCATTCCAGAACAAGGCGCAGGATTTGTTCAGCATACATAAATTTCAAAGGTTTGGATTTGTTTAAAATAGCCTCTTGTCTTGTCGGTGATGGAAGAGGTACCATGCATTCACTCCAACTAGACAGCTTTGTCAACTTCTTCATGGTATTATAGTCTACAAAATAGGCACTCTCATATACGTACCGAAAATTATACATATCAGTTAAAAACAGTTCGTAACGTTTTCAGTACAATGCGTAAATGTTTATGTTGAAATTTTCCTGAGTGCATGTTACTTTCATTTTCATTTTGAATGATGTACAGTAAAAGATATGGCAATTTATCATTATGTTTGTTCAATAAGACGTGGCAAATTATTGATTCCTAGAAAATTATATATTTATATATCTTTTCCATTGGCAATTACCCCTTAATTTGCAATATATAGTATATCCAAGCATATGTAAAAACTAAAAGAATCGGTATATAGCAGAGGCAAGGACCTATATAGAAGTTTAAAAAACACCAGATTATGTTTGAACAAAAATCAAACAATAACCGGATGCCAAGAGACTTGAGTTTTAAGTAGGTGGCTTGATTGGTTTTTGTTTAGCTACTTTTAAGTCGTTTAATTTAGCTACTTCGAACTCCGGATATATACCCTAGACTTGCATGGCACACCCTTGAGTTCTTCTTCAGTAACCCTAAAAATACAGATGATATAGAAGTAATTAGGGGGGGGGGGGTTTCAATATATTAAATTGTTTTCCTCATTGATAGTGTCTGTATGGACATTAGAGTGCAAATATCTAACGACTTTTCGATCAACCGACGTGTGATAGAAAATAGAGAGGCCGCTAGTCAATCGTATTGCCAATGGAAGGTTGAAGCCAAGACTATTTAAAGTATTAGCCCACATATTCGACTAATGGTGGAAAAATATGTAAGGTTGTCGCGGATTGAGAGTTGGATGAAATATGTCCAACCCTTTAAATTTTGCATCAAAGACGTAATATTCCTATTCCTATATATTAAACGTAATAAAATAAGCTAGTAGCTCAGTTACTAGCCACGGTTTAAACACTTAGCTTATCGCAAACTGATATACAAACATCCCTCTTTTACAATTGTTTACTTTCAATGTGAGAAAACAAAAGCAGCAAAATTTCCTAGAAAAGCCATATATATAAATATCACAAGATCAACAATATGTCTTAATTTCTCGTAATCATCGTCAGTTTTTTCATGTTCATTTTTCACCATGTATAACTTTCCCATCAACCAACTTGCCACGTTACCTGCATGTTGGGTCCTTCAATCTCCTTATTTATACCAACATTATAGTCAAATTCTTTCATATACAAACCTAATTTCAAAACCTTCAAGTCCAGGTCCCAATCTACATTATGGCTTGGTACTCGGTGTCTTTTCTTTTCTGTCTCCCCTTTCTGGCTTCATTTTTCTATATCTTTCTTGCTTTTCCATGTTTTTCTCAAGCAATGCACAGGGTCCACCTTCCCCTGGATACTCCCCCAGCTCGAGGGTTACTCCTGTGACCTTTAACCAAGGGTTTAGAAACCAATGGGGTCCTCAGCATCAGAGACTAGACCAGGGTTCACTAACAATATGGCTTGATAAAAGCTCAGGTTTTTGCAATAGCCACATCCCTTTGTTTTTCTTCACTTTCTTTGTTATCATGGAAGTTCTTCTCCTGGTCCTGGAGATGATCACTCAACAGAACTATGTGTTGGAAATAAAACACTCACACAGACAACATTTATTGAAACTCAAACAAATATTACAAGAGCACTCTCACTCAAAAACAAGAACTACAACTCACTCTTATAAGACTTTGCTTCTTCACTCACTTAGAAGCTCTTAATTTTTCTTGATGCTTAAAACTAAAATGGGGAGGGGTATTTATACTACTCAAGAACAATCTTACACCACACAAATAAACTAATTTAAACCATTAAAGTCTACAAATACCTAACTCTCACCTAACTAAATTGATGTAAGCAATGACATCATTACTTAAATGATGTAAGCAATGACATCTTTACTTAAATGATGTAAGCAATGACATCAATTTAGTTTGGGTTTGGGTTTAGGCTCCCATAATGGATCAAGTTTATGATCCAACACCCCCCCTTAAACTTGATCTCGTGACCCCTAGTAGGTTCCTTAATCTTATGAAGTCTTCACTTTTCAGTGGCTTGGTAAAAATATCGGTAACTTGATCTTGTGACTTCACGCATTCAACTTCCACATCGTTTCTTGCAACACACTCCCATATATAGTGGTAGCGAATGTCGATGTGCTTGTTTCGATCATGGAATACTGGATTCTTTAATAAGGCAATGGCTGTTATCGACACAAAACCTTGGGTAGGCTCTTCTTGTATCAAACCTATCTCCTTCAATAGATTTCTAAGCCAAATTGCATGACAAACACATGAGGTAGCAGCAACATATTCCGCTTCACAAGTGGACAATGTGACAATCGGTTGATTCTTTGACATCCATGTGAACGCAATATCTCCCATAAAAAATACGAATCAAGTAGTGCTCCTTCGATTATCTATGTCTCCACCCCAATCACTGTCGTTATATCCAACAAGCTTGTAATAATTAAAAACTGAATAGAACAAGCCAAAGTCAATTGTACCTTTCAGATAGCGAAGAATTCTCTTTGCGGCTTTAAAATGGGTGGTTGTTGGAGATTCCATGTAGCGACTAACCAATCCAACTGCATGAAGAATATCGGGTCTCGTGCAAGTTAGATAGCGTAGACTTCCTATCAAACTTTTGAAGAATGTTGGATCTACACTTTCGCCTTCTTCATGTTTGGTCATCTTGATCCCGTATTCTGCCGGTGTGCTTATTGGCTTACAGTTCTCCATCTTGAACTTCTTCAGTATCTCCTTTGCATAGCTTTCCTGTGAAATGAAAAATCCATCCTTTTGTTGCTTAACTTCAATACCAAGGTAATACGCCATGAGCCCCATGTCTGTCATCTCGAATTCTTTCATCGTCACATCCTTGAATTCATTAAACATGCTTGGGTTACTTCTGATGAAGATCAAATTGTCCACGTAGAGGCACACGATCAAAATATCTTCATCTTTGATCTTGATATATAGAGCATGCTCGTAGGGACATTTGTTGAAGCCATTCTCTTGGAAGTACTTGTCGATTCGACTATTCCATGCCCTTGGTGCTTGTTTTAGCCCGTAAAGAGCCTTCTTCAACACCAACACCTTGTCTTCGTGCCCTTTGACTTCATAGCCTGATGGTTGCTGAATGTAAACTTCCTCTTCAAGAACTCCATTTAGGAAGGCAGACTTTACATCCATCTGTTGTATCTTCCACTTGTTTTGAGCTGCCAAAGAAATGATTAGTCTGATAGTCTCCAATCGAGCAACAGGAGCAAATACCTCATCATAGTCAATTCTAGCCTTTTGACTATAGCCTTTAGCAACTAGTCTCGCCTTGTGCCTTTCAATCTCTTCTTTGGCATTTTGCTTTGTTTTGTACACCCATTTGACACCTATCGCATTATGTCCCTTGGGAAGTGAGGTAAGTTACCATGTGTCATTCTTCTCGATGACCTTGATTTCTTCATCCATCGCATCTCTCCATTTCTTTTCTTGTACCG